CTGAACCCGAGGAAGAACTTCTTCCCTCTGAGGGTGACGGAGCCCTGGCCCAGGCTGCCCAGGGAGGCTGTGGAGTCTCCTTCTCTGGAGATATTCAAGACCCGCCTGGACAAGGTCCTGTGCAGCCTGCTCTGGGTGACCCTGCTTGGGCAGGGGGTTGGGCTGGGTGACCCACAGAGGGCCCTGCCAACCCCGAACATTCTGTGATTCTGTGATTCTGTGCTGTCAAAACTAGTTGAAATAGGCTGGCGGGGTCTGACTGCAGGCAGATGGCCGTATGCACGTACGTGCTCCTACGTGGAGAAGGTGAGCGCCAGAACCGCTTTGCTGGAGCAAAGTGGGCCAAGAAAGAGAGCGCTGCTGGATGGAAGTTGTCTTGGAAAATTCCTCCTTGCAGGCAGCGTGTGGTGGTGGTCTCTGGCGGGACCTCAGGTCAGCGTCTGTGCGTGGCCAGGGTTTCCTAGGGTGGCTTTTCTCATTTCTGGCTTCTCCAGAGTGGGAGCCCGAGGTCCTTGGCTGTCCCTCAGCAGAAGGCAGGACAGCGGAGTGGCTGTGCAGAGTTTTGGGTCCCGGTGGACCTAGAGGAAATACTGAAGGGCCGGCTTGTTGGGCAGCGGGGCTGACCTACACCCTCTGTAAGACATGGGGAGTTACGCTCCGTACCAGAAGAAACAGAGAACTGAGGGCCTCGCTGGTGAGTCCAAAATAGCTTCCACCTCTACAGTTGCTTGCTGTTTGGAGATCTGGGCGGTGGGATTTCTGAAAGCTGCGAAGAGTTGGCCTAATTCTGGTCCTGTCAGGGCAGGCAGAGTTTCATGGGACACCACTGGGGCACATGTAGGCCAAAAGCTTTCTAGGATCCCAACTAAATAAAAAATTAGAAAATAAATAAACCTTTTGTTCAGAGTCTAGAGCAGTCACCAGAAAGGGAACGTGTTAGTTTGTTTTGCTAATTGTTGTGCTAATTTGCGAGAATTATGGTTTCCATCCTTCGGGGTTTTCAAGACCAGGCTGGTCTGATCCCGTAGCCGACCCTGCTGCGCGTAGGATGTTGGGCTGGAGACCTCCCGAGGTTCCTTCCAGCCTGAATTATCCTGCGATCCTTAACGGGCCCTACCAGGGCTTGCAGGGGACCCCTTGAAGTGAGCTCTGGGGTGGTGGTACCTGCCCCGGCTCTGGCTCCGTGTGCTGAAGCAACCAGACTCGTCTCAGCCGCGGGCATCCTCTCCCTGCCGTCTGCCAGAGGCCCTGCTGCGAGGGAGCAGGGCTGTCCAAAGGGACGTGTGCCAGCGCCTGTCTCCTGCTGTGACAGCGATGCTAGGGCAGGTCAGCACTGTGGCTGCGCTCCTTTGCAGGGATCCTTGTTCTCTTCTCCCCTTTTCCTCATCCGCTGCTCCTGACCTGAGATATTTCGCAGCAGGTTGGGCTTCCAGGGGTTTTTCTGCCAGGATTTTGCGAACTCTGCGAGCTGCAAACAACGTCTGCAGTCCTGATTCTCACTGCTCTGGGTTGGGGATGGAGCTCTGCAGCCCATGTGTCGCGTCGTGCCCGCACGGGTCCCGCCAGCAAGGCTCCGGAGCGACGCGGGGCCGCGGCGCAGAGCAGTGCTCTGGGGCTTGGGACTGTGCGTGCGGGGCTGATCTCAGAAATCCCGAGTTAAGGCTGAACGACGTGTGCTGTGGCTGATGTGAGCGGCGTCGGTGGTGAATTGCTGTCGGACACCATGGAAGCCCTTCACAAGAGGTGGCAGAGCCCTGCGGGCCGCTGGGTTTCAGCTGTGGCAGCGGCGTGCTGACGAGTTCACACCAGCAATGTTGCTGGTTTGGGGCCTGTCTCCCCTCCATGGGTCTTAAAAGGGGAGAAGTGTGGCTGGAGATGGCTGTAAGACCAAGATGTTGTGGTGTCCCAGCCCTCCGCGTCTTCGCTCCCCCGCGGGGTGGAGCAGGATGCGT